GAAAATGAAAATGGATTACAGGTAGAGCTCGCCTTTTTAAGGCCCTTTATAGCTTTCATTGCAGCAAGGGTGCTCCGGTATATATCTACCGTCTCCTCTCCGAGGGAAAAGGTTGTATCGAGGCAATCACTTGAAGGGTTACTAGGAACTGTGTCTATCTGATCTTGTGCAACGGCAGTCGACTCAACAACCTCAGCTTCTAGTGGGAAGAGGAGCTCAAGATTTTCCTCGCACTCACGAACTAATCGCGTGAGAGGTTCGGTCGTGAAGAAGGGCTGATGAACAGCAAGCTGTGTAAAAGGTAGGCGTAGCAATCCCCCGGTTCTTTTATCATATTTCTTCAAAATCTTAAGAAGACCTAATCAAATACGCAAATACATTTCAGAGTTCCCATGTTGTGCAAGTAAGAGCATGTTTGGCTAAGTTTTAAAAATACTGTTCACAAGTAGTATGTTAGAAATAAATAAAATCTTTTATTGGTCAAAGTTGGAAATAACAAGCCACTTATTTTCACAATAAGCGCGAGTAAATTTCTTCTTCTTCTTCCCTTTTTTCTTTTTTGGCTTAAAACCGAAGAAAAATTTATCTTATCCAAGCATGTTTGTGAAACAAAAAATTGCGAGCAACTTCTACTTTTTCTTTTAAGCTTAGCAGAACATGCTCATAGTCCAAAGAAAATCATGGTATATGAAGCTATATCATCAGTTTTTCAGAAACTTGGAAACTGGGAACCACCATTTCCCAGGTGAAACCTGTAATAGACAATCATAGAAAAACATTAGTGAAGCAGCATCTTACCAGCAAAATTCAGAGAGCTGTAATTTTTCAGAAGAACCATTTCCCCATGAATGGCAACAAAATCTTTACGTATATCCATCATCTCTTCACTAAATTCAGTATCTGATCTGAAGACTCTGTCTCTACTGCCTTTTTCCTTCACTCGTTCAATTCTTCCCTTCAACTCCTGCAAAATGGAATGTGATGAATGAAGTGCCAAATCAACATATATTTTTGGTCTCCACCAAAATGAAGCTTCCCATGTAATCTGCTAACCAATAGATATACTGTCTAAAATATTACTAAATGACAAAAAAAGGTTGACATTTGCAAAACCGATGAACCTTTAGTGCACTAAATTTTGCTAGTTTCCGTTCCTAAATAGAGGTTTAGCTATCATCCGGCTAAACTCATATCTGGAAATGGAATTTTATATTATCTATCTCAGCATTAATACTCTGAGTGCCTTAATAATAAGGTTAAGGCAACTACCGGTTACAGAAATGTATCAGTTTCATTTTTCCACCAAAAGAATAAAACTCATAATAGTTATGATGCACTCAAAGCATTCTGCTATATTTGAGAACCCTAAGTCTATTCAATTAAGCATACGGGACACATTATAAGCACAACCATTTATTTCTAATGGTTTACGGCACCTGAAAGAAGATATATTTACTTTCCGATAGTATCTTGCAAGAGAAGACTCCTGAGCTTTCATATCCCATAGGGCTAAAGTGTAAGCTCAAAACATACTGAAGAGTACAATGGACAAAATTAATTTCTTTTCAACCTACCAAACATGCCATGTGCATTCAGTAAGTTAAAACAGTAGAAAACCATCTGTTCTTCTAAACAAGTCCATGTTAAAAATTTCAGTTGAATCTCGGGTTCCATGGCTTGCTTCAGCCATAGAGAAAGGACACAGAAAAAGAAAAACGGAGTTACAAAAGAATCTTAAGTTAAAATTATAGCTAGTAAGAGGTTAAAATATCCTCTTTTGGTGCAAATGAAACATCAAAGATACTACATCACTAAACAAACACTTAGATAGAATGGAATTTGCTGCTAATATCCTATATTAACAACCTGCTTTGAACAAGACTGTTTTCTAATTGCTACTACCTTCTCCTTCTGTAAACATCTAATCGGTCGGAACAAATACACAATCCAATTGAGAGCATGGGAGTTGGGAAGCAAATGAAACATCATAGATACTACATCACTAAACAAACACTTGGATAGAATGTAATTTGCTGCTAATATCCTATATTAACAACCTGCTTTGAACAGGACTGTTTTCTAATTGCTACTACCTTCTCCTTCTGTAAACATCTAATCGGTCGGAACAAATACACTATCCAATTGAAAGCATGGGAGTTAGGAACACTAAATTGAATATAATATGTAAAAACATCCAACTCAAGGAATTTTGTGGTTGACTCCCTCATCATATGCCCCAACCCCTCTCTACCTCAGCCACTCTCCCAGAAGCCCAATTGTGCGCATATGGGTTCCAAGATCAGGTAATTTAAACATATCCTATGACATATTTGATTATGCCAATAAAGATTATTTTGCATTATCCAACTTACCGTCTCCACTTAAGGTATTTTTGATAGACAAAATTTAGCTTATTTTTTTAATTCACCTCGTCAAACAAACAATTAAATGATATTACACTTCATCTCCCTTCTATTTGAGCAACGATTATAGAGAAAAGTGTCTCCTCAAAAACTTTTATAATCACTCATTATCTCAATTGCTCGGATTTCTATTATTCTATATAGCTTCCAAATGAATCTGATCTGCCAATCTCTCATCAATATTTACTCCATATTTCCATTTGAACTATTCACATTCAAATAAATATGTCATTCTTTCTCCATAGTCTACGATGTTTGAATTAGAATTCAGTTCCCTGGTACAACTTCTCCATTCTTTTGAAAAGCACTGAATAAACACACAACTCTGAGAAAATTCAATAAGTTTTACAACAATAAAAGACGCAGTTTCCTAACGCCGAACAAATTTTCTGCTGTGACTTTAGCTACAAGATCAAGATACTAATAGTGTCTATTTATCCAACTTGGATAGGGTTAAAATTGTAAAGACGATAAGAATAAAAAACAATTTCACAGACCAAATAACCCACCATATAGTGTGCACAATATAGTATTGATATACGTGAAATCAAGAAATAACCTGGAAGCGGATGATGAATTCTTCCTCTTTATCGACGTAGAAATTGTTGAATTTTTCGAGTTCTTCGTTAAGAATTCCAACAAACCAGTCATGGAGCTCGGCTGACGGCAGGGGCGCCGCCAACCCATCTCCGTCCTTCGGCAGATCGGCTGCCGGGATATTCTTTAGGAGCTTTTTTAGAGGCTTGTAACACAAATACTTGTCCCTCCATTCCGGCAGTGTTTCTCCTAAATGGATCCCAAATTCTTTCCCGAATTTCATATGTAAAAATCGTTTCTTTTTCCAAAAATTACACTATCCCTGATGCCGGAAAAACGGATTATTACAGGAGAAGGAGAAGTTAATGCGAATTTCCAACGGATAACCTTGAAATCGACAAGAACGTGAAGATAATACACGCACTAGTGCATTTTTGTGGGGTGAGGAGTTTGCTTTTGGAATCTTTGCAGATGGGCTCGAAAAGACAGGGGCGGTTGGTACAATTTGTTTTTGGGTTATGGGGAATGAATTGGCACTGTTATATTCTTCCAATCTCTTTTGTCTTTGGGTATTTGTTTCTTGAAATGATAAAACATCCTACAAAAATCTAAGAATGTATCCATCCTACCCTACCTTTTACAAAAGAAGCAAGTTAATCCTTAAGTCTGTGTTTTGTCTAATTAAAAAATTGATTAAAAATTTAACCCTGTTTGGTAATGATTTAAGTCAAGTCAAACAATCAATATTAATCACAATTTTTAAGAACTTTTATCAAAATTTATTAAAAATCTAATTTTACTTCCTACCAAACAGGATAACGTACATTTTAAAGAATCCTTAATTTTTATCAAATTTTTATAAAAATTTACTAAAAAACTATTTTCTAACAAAATCAAACAGGAGCTTAATCTTTTGTTTTTGTTACAGAATCCATCTCGATGATAAAAACCTCTTTATTAAGTTTAAGCCTCATATATCTAACTTTATGAAATTAGGTTTTGTTTTCTAATATGGTTCTTTCCTGAGGACTATATCCCGATTCATTAGGAGCGAAGTCTATTGTCACTTAGATGCTTTATAATCACACTAACATCAATGATAATTAGTGTTATTTTTTCAGAGTTTATCTAAGAGACTCTCTATACCCTCCATTTTAGAAAGTCAATACCTAAAAATAAATAGGTAATTTGTAAATTGCAGCTACACCAAGAAAGAGCGGCATCTTTTTTTAATAAATGCATTTATAAAACTACGGATTTCAATACTTTATTTCATAATTTATTCAAATCATATTTGATTTGAGTCATTAACATATAAAAGATGTGTTAAAAAAAATGAGAACACATTAATAGATATTTCGTGAAAAAAAAGTAAATGAAGAGTTAAAATAGAGAGCATTGTCAAAGTGTATAAAAAATTTTACCTTCTAAATTTCAAATGCTTTATACCTGTACTGGGTATAAAATCTCAATAATGGAGAAATATTTTAAGATCGTAAAACTCTAGATAATTTTTCGTCCTTATTTGGCTCCATTTTCTAAAATACAATATTTTTCAAATTTATTTTAAAAAACACTTTCTTCCAATAAATTAATTTTCCAAGTGAACCCATAATTTTTTTCCTACTTTTTAACCAAAATTCGTCAAAAATATTTTTATTTTTAATCTATTCTTACAAAATTCTATCAAATAGGCTTTCTAATTTCTCATTCTCCCTTCAATGTTATTTTTATTATAATATTCAATAAATAATAATCTATATTTTATAATTTTATGTTGAGGCATTGTCCGTTTAAACTCGATGTTACATGTTCGATTTAAGTAATTAACAATTATAACTCAAAATGCTCATCATTATTCCTTTTCGTGTGTGTTAAAGGTGCGAGACATTGTTAGATGGAAGCTTGAAAATTCTTGATTTAAAGATATCGTAATTACATTAGTCAGAATGGATCGAGCTGGACAATATCCAGCTTCATTCTTCCTCAGAGACGGAAATTGTCAAATTGAAACCGAAACGAAACCAAAAGAATTACAGAGATTAATATCGTCACCTTTTACTCCGAACTGAGAATAATACTTGTTATAACATTATACAAATCAACATTTATCTTTCACTCTTTTAGATATTCTTTCTTTTATTCCATAATAATTGATTGCTCGCGACGACTTCGAGCGAACTCCACGAGTGTGCCAAAAAAGAATCTATGATAAGTAAGCGCCTGCGTTCAGTGAAGTGCAATTCTTGACAAGCTGAATTCGAAGGAAGGAGTTATGCTTCTCTAGAATCGGGCCACTATGCACATCTGATTCCTATTCAAGGATTACGGAAAGCAAGCTTTTAAGATCATTTTATTTATTTTTCTCAATATTTATTGCTTGATTTCTATTTTCACGAAAGTATTAATAAAATTCATGGTCTGTAATAATCTGATTATCCAAAAATATTTCTTTTCCTTTCAAAATCGTATAGGTGGATTTGCCATCGCAAGATTAAAATTCGTTCTTCATAGATTTTTGATTGAACTATAGACAAGTTTTGCATAGTGAAATATGAACAGACTAATGGTTAGAAATGAATGTGTGACAGCACATACAATAGGTCAAAGATTAAGTCCCACAGGGTAGATGATTATGAAAAGTAGCTTTTATTCGAGGAGAGGTTATAACTCTATAATATAGTGAATAAAGATTTTGACTTATTTTTTAACTTAATAATGTACATTGCGGAATTCTTGCTATCGCATATGCCATTAGTGTCTCCATCTGCGTTACCCGATCTTATACAATGATTTTTCGTTATCTTCAATAGTTTGTTTTCTGGATTTTACATCGTCAACGAGAAAGAAAAAACGTACCCGTTTTTAGAGTAAACATAATGTTCTATCTTTCCTTCCAAGTATTCCGATGTTGAACCCGTACCCCCACCGTCCGGTCCCTGAAATATCGTGAGAGAGGTAAATCGCGAGATGTACCCCAATAGACTATGGAGCAAGAGTTTGCTCGTACATTGATGCCCACAAAGAGTTCAATTCCATATCTCAGAAATCGAACCCTCATACCAAAAATTGTTTGTGATGATTTCGTCTTTATGTGCTTTAATGTACATTGGGAGGTTTGCATTCAAAAGGGTGCCTTCGAATTTTTGGTAACTTATCTTACTGATGTTATTATGATGTAAACTTATTAGTTGAGTGGATTTTACTTCAATATTGCCATTTAACACTAGTGGACTCTTATCGACGCTAACCACATATGATTTGGAAAAAGCAATCACTATAGGGAATTCTTGACGGTCAACGCCGACGTGATCACTGATGATTGGATTATTTTTTGTTTTCTTTTTCATCTTCCAATCAATTTCCGACATGCGTTGTCTGTCAAAATTTTATGTACTTATATAACATGATTAGTATGATTTTAGCTTCATCCTTCTCTCTGTCACGGTGAGTGGATATACAGTAGTGAACCTATACTATGATAGAAGAATACGAATTCTATACTATGATCATCAGTATAATCAATTGGTGCAAGTTGGTAATCATCGGTGCCAAAGCTGATTTTTAATAATCTATTCTTTAAAAGACGCACGTCATGAATAGTATTTCATATGATTGGACGGTGTGACATATGTGATTTAATTTCTTTTTCTATCTTAAATGTGTTTTCTGTCTTACCCCAAAATCCATTAAATAAATATATTGCTACACATTTTAAATTTATGAAACATAACCGAAACAAGAAGATTGTTAATCTCGAAAGTCTCACAAGTGCTATGGGAGATTGGGAAGTGAAGTCTTTTTCTTTGCAAATAATGTTTCGATAAAATACCCTCTCCGTCCTATTTATATAGACTGACTTTCTTTATTTTCTTGTTTCAATTATATAATCATGTTTCTTTATTAAACATGTTTTTTTTTTTTTTTACAAATTACCCTTATTTAATTTGCTTAGTTATAATCAATTTTCTCCATTTAATCTTGAAATTGTACAAGTATAAATAAGGGTAAACTAGGAAAGTTGTTGGCAAAAATTGTTTTTCAATAACATTAAATAAGATTTCTTAATACGTGTGAAAAACAAAATTAACCTATATAAATGAGTCGACGGGCGTAATAAAACTGTGGTATTACAAGTAAAAGTTTACAAAATAAAAATAAAAATACTGCGTTAATCATTTGCTTTTTTTTAATTTAATGATGATAAGTTAAGAATACTTTATAGTTAATTGAATGGACAACTATACTAATGTTCTGTTTGCTTAACGTTAAAAAAGGCTTCTTCTTCTTTTTTAAGTAAAATGCAACACATTATACATTGCATCATATTTTCCAATTTCGAATTCTTATATTTTAATTATAATTTTCGATTAAACTATGATTATTTAAATATTTGTTTTCCTTTTGATATTATCATAAAGAAGTCAAGTGAAAGACGTATCACATGCTAATTGTACATAAGATGCTATTTATAAATAAATAGTTTCTTGAAAATGCTCTTAAGTTGAGAGATCAAATTACTAATTGGGAAATAAATTTGGAATTAATGGTGCAATTTTCCCAATAATTTATTATTGCTCAATCTATTATTAATTTTTGAAAATTTGTTTGCTGGCCATGTCGTTGGGGGCAAATGACCTTTCGGCTAGTTGTACAAGCAAGTGCATTTCTTAATACACAATGCATGTTTACGTATTGATCGATATTCAAGTTGTGTTTTATTTTTAATGGTTTAATTATTATTTTTTTTAATCTTGATTTAATTATTTAATGCACATACATGGTTGTTTCTTTCTTGTTGAACTACCAAGTTGCATTAATCATATTGCTAAAGAATTGAGCATCTTGTATTTCATAAAAATTGGGACATAGGCATATGAAGCCATATAATCAAGGATTTGAATCCACTGAGGCATCCAAAATAGTTCGGAATGAAGCTGTCAATCAAACAGAAGACTACCAAAAACATTCCAAAGAATCTCGTAACGCCAAGGACCGATATTTGATACTAATAATGGTAATCGTTTCAGATTGAACCCCCATTTGGTAGAAATTTTTCAAAAAAACCAAAAAAAAAAAAACAATTTTTTTACTATTATTTCACTATTTTAACCATCATTTTTTATTTCTTAACTCACGGGTGGAATCCACTTTTCTCTCTAATGATCAAAAAATCAATTTTCATAATCATTACTGAACAGGCCCTGAATAAAATATCAAAAGTAAAACACATTGCTACCAAATCCATTTAAGGGGATAATTCCCTTTATGATCATAATCATCCGGTCATGAAAAACGAGTCACTTTTGATGTTCAAGCAACAATTGAAGAAACTAAGATCTCATTCTCATTCTCAACAAATTTGGAATTGTACCCCAATAGACTATGGAGCAAGAGTTTGCTCGTACATTGATGCCCACAAAAAGTTCAATTCCATATCTCAGAAATCGAACCCTCATACCAAAAATTGTTTGTGATGATTTCGTCTTTATGTGCTTTAACGTACATTGGGAGGTTTGCATTCAAAAGGGTGCCTTCG